TGTTTTGGTGGTGGTATGGTGAATTATGATGATTATAAGTTCTGTAGAAATATTTACATTTTTATAGGTTTTTATTTTTAGAGAAAATTTCTGGCTATTAGTATGGACTACCTTGATTTCAAATTGACAAGTTATTTTAGGTGGCAAAGAGTCTTTAGGTAATATAGGATTCTTCGAGTTTTAAGTTGCATGACACTACCTTGATTTCGTTACGTCATGCCTTCAGACACGGGCAATTATTAGTTCTATAATATAATATAAGCAATAAAATTATAATTTTGATAAATTTGAAATGATACTTAATGTAGGTACACATATGTCGAATATTTTTTATTAATATTTTGTATATAAAAATTATTTCCGTGCAATGCACGTGGTGCATTACTAGTTTATAATAAAAACAACATAATTACTGCTCTTAAGTGATACTCCTTATTTCCTCGTGATCCTCCATCAAACTGATGATTAACTCTTTCATAGGCAATTTGGGTTATAACAGTTTGTTTGGCGATTGATCAGTGAATTTACGAAGTTTAATGCTCCGTTTGGTAGGAAGGATGAAAAATAAGAGGGATATACTTTCCTTCCTCTATGTTTGGTTGTATGAAAAATAAAAATAACTATTTTTTTTAAATTTTTTTTTGTGCTGGCTAAGATTAGAGGTGACAATCGAGTTGAGTCGTGTCGTGTTAAGTTATTACGAGTTTGTGTCGAATGTTAGTCAAACCTAACTTAACTCATTTAACTAATTGTGTCATGTCGAGTTGCGAGTTGACCTGTTTATTTTCGTATCGAGTTCCAGTTGTGTCATCGTGTTGAATTTAAAATTTTCACCCTTAGTTAAGATGAAAAAAATATTTTTTTTTAATTTAAATTTTTAAATTTTATTTTTTTTAAAATTTTTTAAAATATATATACATATTTTATCATTGTATTTTTATATGAAATTAATGTATACATAAGATATATAGACAAATAAAATACATCTCAACACAAATAATTAATTTTTCATCCACTTTCTTTCTGATTTTAGAGGGATTGATTTTGGTGAGTTGGAAGAAAAGTTAATTCATCTACTTTTTCATCTTTCCTACTTTCCTTCTTTATCAAACATGATATTTTTTTTATCCTTTCAATTTTTCATCCTTTCCCTTTTTCGTCGTACCAAACAGAAGATAAAGGTTCACGAAATCAAACCGCTTTAGTCTGCCAATCAAAACACACTCAGACTCGGCAGACATGTCCCTTGAATGTCTGTTTTGACAGAGCACATTGAAGCATAAACGCATGTCAATGTTGAGATTTCTACTTACAAAACACATGCTCAGCCTACAGGCATGCTAGGTTGGTCAGTGTTGTTGATCATTCAGCATGCCCAAGCCCGTTCTGTGATTATCAAACAGTTCGTGACCCAAGGCTTGTTGGCCTGGCCCACCTTTTGTGGCTGTGAAAAAACCTTATAGTCTAGCGAGTAGGGCCACGGACCATGTATTTGTCCCTCTAGGCCCTTCATGCTAATGACTCACGCATTTCGTTGGGTAGGCCCACGACTTAGCTCATTCGGCCCTAGAATACTAAAACAATAAAAATATGTAAAATTAAAAAAAAGAATCACGTTATTTTATTAGATTTTAAATATTTTCTCCTATCATCTAGTACCATGTGTCATTTATTATTACTACACTTCTCTTCACCCACTAAATACCCAAAATTTATTTTAAATATCAAACAATTATTTAATATTTCTTTATTTAACCTTTCAAGTGATAAGAGAGAAAAAAAGCGACGAAGAAAAATAAAAAGCTAAAAAGAGCTGATTATAAGTCTGCTTCATATTGGTGGGGCCGTTCGTATTTCTATACGGTTACGGTTATCTAATCTAGTCGATCCATCAAAAAATTTATTATTATTCAGGTCATATCGGTTTTGGAACTTGTAGCTTTAATTACTAGCAAAGCCGCTGCAGAGAAAGGAGAGTTGAAAATTGGTGGAGAAATGATTGTTAGATATGGGAAACAAAATCATTAAAGCATAAGCATGAGAAGCAATTATTTGGCATGAGAGTGTGTGTGCACTTTTAGTCATAAGCATCATACACCCCACATTATCATAACATTTTATGTCGTTTATAACCCTAATCAAAAGTTAAATTAAGTACATAATCTATTCAATTTTTGTATGATTAAAACGATAGACTAAAATGGTAAAGAATTTTGCACTCATACCCCTTTCTTCTAGTTTGTTTAATTTCTTTATCCCCTCCGCTATTGATTTTGTCATTCTATCGTTCTATTGAGAACTTTGTTTAACATTGCTAAACAAAACATAAATCTTCAAATGAGCAAGGAGAAATATGTAACTTATGTTAAATTAAAGCTCTGGAAATATATAAAATTAAAGGTCTACTATTACAAGCACACAACAAAATTACTGAAGCTGAAGTTTCGAATTCCTGGTAATATGTTAGTGGAAAAAATAAAAGATCTTTGTTGTACTAAAATTGTCAAAATAGATGTGGTTTTCATCAATGACAAGTTTTTATGTATGAAAATTGTACAATCTGGTTACTTCTGCATCTTACTGGTAAAATGTCAAACTTACTTTGAAATTGGGGTACCCAAAAATGAGTTATATCTTTGAAAGGGTTACTCAAATGAAATTTTTAAAAGAGTTGGGGAATAGAGAGACAGAACAAAAAATATAATCACCAGCAAGATGGTGAAATCCAAGCAAACTAGGTGGGTCCCCAACTTTACAGTCTATTAGACATTCGTTTTTCTTTTTCTTTTTTTTTCATTTTATCATATTATCTCCCGATATGATAGCAAAAAATGCGAGAGAACAGTCATAATGAAGAACTGACATAACTCTTTTTTTTGGTTTGGAACAATTTCTATATCAGTAATCAAACTTTTCTGTAATGTGAAAAACCAAAATTACTTTGACCTAGTTACAAAAAATGTTGAAAGCATCTCGACATTCTTATAGTGGATCTTTACAAATAATAGAGTTTATTATTAATTTAATAATAAAATATAATTAAATTAAGAAATATAATTATTAAATTAACTCAGAATAATAGTACTAAAAAGAATCGACTGCACTATTTAACGCCGGATTGTAAGTAGATAACACAAAGGAAATGGTAATGATGGATCATGGGTGGTGCCCACTTTTTGTTGATAACAAAAATGCTAAGCTGTGGGGCCATGTGAAGGCATATGCTATGATCCAAAAAAATATATCAAAACAAAGAATCATGCCATGTGTATACAGTGTAGATGTCTGTTGGACTGCTTTAATTGAGAAAAAAGACTATTGGTAAGATGGAGATCTGAGTAAAAGTGGGATATCCCGGCGTTGTCAATGGATTGGGTGGCAAACTAATCCACCATGTTTGGCCAACGTTTGACAAGAAAACTAAGGTTTGATGGTTCACTGTATTGAATAGGTATACTTGTTCATCCATTAGTCAATGTAATTCTAGCAGACTCTAGATCAGCATCCTATGATTCATATAACATAATAAAAAAAACATTAATAGTTGTTTGGGTCAAGGTTCATATTGATACTAATTTTTTGCAGGCTTGTGTGTGTGTGTGTGTGTTTTTTCACATTTTATGCCATAAATGTTTTATTGTCAATAATGGGTCAATTTTATTTTATGTATACCGTGGTCAAAGACAATATGATCATTTTCATGAATCTATCACTTGTGTTAATTATCTCAAATAAGACGCGAAGACTACGAACGTGTTTACTACGAGGGAAGAAAATGTTAGATAAAAGATAATGATGGCCGGCCAAAGTTTTTGGTTTCATTTTATTAAGCGATAAATGTCAATATATTTAACAATATTTATAAGCCAAATTAGCTTATCTGAAAAATTGCAGTCTACACCTGTAGTACAAAATAATTCTCTTTTTTATAAATAAAATACCATGAATGACTTCACCCTAACCAACTTAGCTTATTGTCATTTATAATAGGTTGAGATTTATTCATCTAGGCGCGATAATAAAGTCAATCCGTGACCTGACAATTGGTAAAAGGACAAAGCATTGGTTGACATCCAAGTGGAGCGGCTAGGTATATCCTTGAGGTCATACATTGGAGAATAATTTTGTATTATTTTCTAGTATTTTTTCACGGGGAAACATGGGTTGGTTGAAGGTTAAAAAGTTGTTCAATCTAATCGTAGCAACACCCTTCGACTCGCGACACCACTCTAGATGCTGAGTGGGAGTCACCGGAAAATCTAAGTTTAAATAGTAATAGGGATTAGTTATAAATTTAAATAGTTTAGGCTCAAATTTTGATAATTTTTTAGGATTAAACCATGTGAAATTTTATCTCTTAGGAATAATCTAGTTCTGGTGTTGATGACCTACCTTTAACTGGATCAAAAAAGAGATTAGTAAAAGTACGCGATAAATTAGTCTGAACACCCTAACCAAGAAAAAAAAAATAGGTCTAATAACTTGCATTAAGTTAGGTGCCAAAAAAATTGGTAAATAGCATTGGTGTGTAGAACCGTTTTAAATAAAAATAAATGAGTAATGCTAAATGAACTTAAAAATTAAACTTAAAAATTAGATTTGATAATCTTAATTATTGAATAGTTAGTGGGTCCCAATAAATGTTGCGACTGACAGTAAAATTAATAATTGAGATTATCAAGTCTAATTTTTAAGTGTATATATCATTGCTCTTAAATGAGAATAAAGTCTGGTGAATTTCTAGATGGCAATTTGCAAACAAACCAAACAAGAATCTGAGAAATTGCCTGAAGTATCGTGAGAAACTGGAATTCTATATGTTAGCATCAGGTGGTTTCCTTGGAGCCAAACACGTGAATTGCTACCTCAAAGTGCGTAGAAATCAGAAAAGCGATTGCATATACAAGATGTTACGAGTTAGTTAATGTCTGACCGATAGAAAAGAAAAAAGAATTTCAAGTCCACCAAGAGAGAGAGAGAGAGAGAGATGGGATGTCTTTATGTTGTTATATTTGCATTGGATCCTTCGCCGGAGTGGGTATGAAAACCTCCAACTTATCTCTCTTTTCCAAAACATGGGAAAAGCTAGAATCCAAAGAAACTCACTAAACAACTACAAAAGATGGTGAGTTTTATGATTGATTATATTCTTTACAACCCAACTCTATATCACTCATCTTTCTCGATCCCCTTAGACATATCAAACCTCTATCTTTTTGAGCTTGCTGTTCCTAGTATCTGTTTGTTTTAGGTGATCTTTATTCCAATCCTCATTCTTTCCTGCAATTTTCTCCTCCAAGCCTCCACCTCTATATCAATCATCCTTCCTCGCTTTTTGGGTTCTTGCATGTTCTTATTATCTGTTTGATAATTTTAGGTTATCCTTATTCCAAGTTCCACTCTCGATCCTGCAATTTTCTCCTCTCATGTACTCAGAATTCTACTGGTTTTCAGTCATGGGCATGTCTAATTCTGACTTGTTTCTCTCCGACAAGGATCTAAACGCCATGGAATGCAACTTCTCGTCAAGAGTACCCCTGCCGGAGTATCAAGATGAATGTCAAATTGCACCTTCAGAAGAGAGAGAGCTTCACCAAGAAATTCAACAAGGAGAAGTAGAAGAACGAGAAAAAGAAGAAAACTGTGAAAGTCTTGTGTCTTCATTGAAGATCAAATTTCCTTCTGTTGGCGAATCCAAGGTTGACGAGGAAGACGACGGGTTTCAAACTCCTAAGTCCACAGAGCATAAAATTAAATCCGCAGAGATCTGCCCACCGGCTCCAAGAAAGCCGAAGACAATTTCATCGACGACGCGAAAAGCATCACGTGGAACTAGAAGAGTTCTTCTTGATCTCACAAGTGAGGTTGAATCATTGTATCCTCCGGTTCTTTTGGCAGATCTTGGCGGTAAGATCAAGAAAGTTAGGAAAGGGAGTGAAACACCATATGATCGATGTTAATTATCGTTTTACTTACCTAGCAGCTAGAAAATTTATATGAATTTAGTAGACTTATAATCTCATTCCATCTAAGACTGTTGTCGCCAATTAAATCCAGTTCTTCATCATCTTGTTCATGAGAGAGATTCCGTAATCTATTTCCATTAGTAGTCCTACAATTTTTTCCTGGAGTTGGGGTTTATATATGTTAATTTGTTCTTTGGCTTAAGATTAACAAATATATCTCATTTCAAGGTAAATGTGTGAAAGATCAGAACTCAAGTAACAGTCATGTGGCTGCAAAAAATGATGACCGAGCATTACCACTTTCTTCCACTCTTGATTGTTATGTAATGAAGTTCTTCCGGACCAGCGAATGGGGGTGGTACATTGGGTTACACATTACGGTTAAATGTTTGATTCTTAGAGTCCACGTTGAAGTTCGGTGATTGATTGTATGTTAGCATAATTAAATTTGTTTTCACAAAGAGTAACAGATACGGTTAGAGTCTCATGATTTTACTTGGGATAATTTTTTAGCGCTCTCCTTACACCATCTCTTTTTCCAATACTTGGGATAATTTTTTAGCGCTCTCCTTACACCATCTCTTTTTCCAATAGCCAAAAAAAAAAATTGCACAGAACCTTTCTCTCTTTCTCTCTGAAGTACTGGAATTGTTTGCATTGACTTTGCCAAGATGCAGACATCCTTCTCGGTAATTACCCTAGTGTGATGAAAACAAGAGGGATATACATTCATATGGCAGAAATTTATTGAACAGTAAATAAAAAAAATTATTTAGAGTTAATTTAGAGACCGAATTTGATAATTTAATTTAATTCATTGATCATTGAATTAACATGAGACTCTATTTAATATTAAAATTTATAATTAATATAATAATTATATTGAATTAGATCCTTCAATTAAATCTAAACAGCTAACTTGAAGGTTGTTGCTGTGATCATGCAGCCTTTACTTTTTCACGTTGCTTTTCACCTTTTGTTCACATGAGACAACGAGTTAATTAGTGGGAAGTTCCATCAAGGAAATGTTATCTTAGCGGAGGCGACTAAAAATAATTGTCTCCATGCGATTCCATGTATTTTTTTTTTTTTTTTTTAATCTCATCCAAGGGGGAGAGATCTTTTTTCTTTTGCAGTTAGATTATAAAAGGTCCATAAAAGTGGCCCCCACCGGAAGGTGGCCGGCGATTGGGTTTTAGGTCAGCATTGACCTCATGATGGACGGTTGAGATTAATAATGAAGTGCAATAGTCAAACACATCAAATGGTATTTTGAAGAAAGAAGCATACATAGGTTGGTTGGAATCCAAGAAAAGTTAGAGGAGGTGTTATGAAAATAAAAAAAAATAATGAAATAAATTGTGGAAAATTCTGGGTTTATTTGGACCATTGATCCTGATTCCCATTTTCTTGAAATGGATTAGACAAAGTGATAAGTGGACGATAAGAAAACTTCCCCAAGGAAGATACAACCATTTCCACTGTCCTATATACATAATAATATATAAAAAATCGAAGAGAGATTTTGTGTGTCCTACAACCTAAAGGAAAAGATGCCCCTAATTTTCATAAAAATTTCTAAGGAAATATTAAGCTGACCCATGGTTTAGTTAGTTCACGCACACACACATTTGATGATGCACAAAAATAAGTTTATGCACAATCAATTAATCAAGTATGTGTTGTGAAGTAATTAATGAAACAGTTAATAATAAAAGATAAATATTAGGTGGTTGGATTTGGATGACCTAACATGGAAAGCAGTAATGGTGGTTAAAAAATTCTATTAATGAGAAAGTACAAAAAAGTAAAAAAAGAGAGCAAGAGCACGCTCAAGGTGAAGTGTCTCTCTGTGTGAGAGATAGTTGTTTGTGTGTGTCTCTCATGTGTAGAAGATTTATAATTTATAGGCACAGAACTCTAACTGAGGCGGTGATGCCAACGTCACGCTACTAGTATTTCGAGGAAGAGAACTACAATTAAGGACAGGGGCGGAGCCACCCTTGGACCAGGGTGGGCACGTGTCCCTCCTCAATTTTTTTTTTTAACATTAGATATATATATTCTTAAATAAAATTTAGATATATTTAATTGTGTCCATTCCCAAACTTTTGTTTACATTATATATATAAAACGTAGGTACAAACCATCCCCAAACCAATATATTTATGATATTAAATCTAATAATGAGTCCATACATTAATAACGTAGGTACAAATCATTGGGTTTCTATCAATTAAATTTTAAAATTTTTTTTGTCAAGATATAAAATTAAATTTCGAATTAGATGCAATTACTATTATTCTTAAATTTTTAGATACAGACATGTCTGAATAATTATTAGACATGTCGCGACTATTTTTCTAAAATATAGGATTATTTTGTTATTGTATAGAAATGAGTGTTATTATGTAATAAATTACAGGGTAATAAATGAAAAACTGTTATTACCATTTTGTATATAGAAAAAAAATAGTTATTGATATCATTGATTTGTAATTCTTTTAAATGATAAACAATAATCAGATTCAATTGTAAAATGATAATAATTAGTCTCATGCAAAGTTTTAATTAATTTATTTTTATTTTTTGTTTGTTCATTCCATGCAAATCATTTTTTAACCTTTTATGTTTAATGAATTTTTACGCATAATTAAAGTAAATATCAATTTATGAACTTCTGTGGTCAATTGAAAACAAATGAAAAATACTATTTAGATCTAATTTGATGACATAATTCAATACACCCCTTTGATTAAAAGTAAACTTCATCTAACATTAAAATTTGTAACTAAAATAACAGTTATATTGAATTAAGTTTATAACATTGATTTAAAAAAAAAGAAATTTATTAATGTGCCCGCCCTAAAGTATTATTCTGGCTCCGCCCTTGCTTAAGGATAGGTGTTATCTTCAAGTAATGACTATTCAAATATTCACTATATACGTGAGTTAATCTTCCTGAATTCTTGAGCTTTGAATTAGACTAAAGTCATGAGTTAAGTCTAATATACATTTTGATGATTTGAGCTCAATTCATAAACTAGACCTAGACTTATGCTCAGTTTGGTATGATGAAAAAATAGAAGGATGCAAAGTTAGAGAAATAAATAAAATATCATGTTTGGTAATGGAGGAAAATAGGAAGGATGAAAAAGTGGATGAATTAACTTTCCTTCTAACTCACCAAAATCAATCCCTTCAAAATTGGAAGGAAAGTGGACGAAAAGTTAATTATTTGTATTAAGATGTATCTTATTTGTCTATATATCTTTTAATATATACATTTATTATGTATATATTAATTTCATATAAAAATACAATGATAAAATAAAAAAAAAATAAAAAAAAAGAATATTAACGTTAAATTTTTGTTCAAAGTTTATGTGGATCAACAGGAATACGAACACAACACAAAAATAAACAAGTCAACTCACAATTCGACACGACACAGTTAGTTAAATGAATTAAATTAGGTTTGATTAATGTTCGATATAAATCCGTAATGAATCAATACGAATCTGACACAATACAACACGACACGACTCGACTGTCACTCCTTATCTTAGCCAGCACAAAAAAAAATTGTCATTTTTATTTTCCATCCATCCAACTAAATACAAATGAAGGAAAATGTATAATTCTTATTTTCCTTCTTTAAAAGATAGAAAGTGTATCTCTTCTACTTTTTATCCTTCCTACCAAATAGAGCATTAGTCGAAATCTTGGCTCGTCAACATTTTCGGCTTTGCTTGTGGTTGCCTTATTAGCCTATACAAAAAATTACTCCCGCCGTTCTTAAATATCTGTTATTTAAGGTTTTTGCACAGGGATTAAGGAAGCTATTAAATAGCTTTAATATTAGTAAAAAATAATTACACAAAACTAAAATACGATTATTCAATATGTATTGGAAAGAAAATGAATATGAAAGACACTTAACCTACACTTAATCTATTGAACACTTATTGAAAAATAAAGACAAAGGTAAATTTGGAAAAAAAAATATTTATTATGCTTTGGTTTCATAAAACGATAGATATTATGGAACAAAAAAAATCGTGTAAAACGAAATATATTTAGAAACGGAACGGAGGGAGTATATAAATTTGGGTCATTTTTCACAAAAAAATGTTGTTGGGCCATTTCTGTCCATAGTATACCTTCACAAGATAATTTGGGGCCCTCTTTTATGGTGCCCGCACTAAGCAAACATCTAAGATGCGTATTCATGAAGCCTGCCCTGATCACTGGACCGCAGCAGAATCTTCAACGTGGATCGGGCTTTTTATCAATAAGTTTTCACATTTTGTTTGCTCATGTTTTGGCATAATATGGAGTCTGTTTCTTTTGTCTATTCATTGTTCGATTAAATGGTTCATCTTTGAATTGTGATGTAATTCATCAATGATGCAAAAACAGGTGTGTGAAAATACGGGTATAAAGAATAAGAAAAGGGTTGAGAAATAGAACAAAATCAAATCGTTGACTTGTGCATAAATATTAGTTCAGAATTATATTTTAGGCCGGTTGATTTACTCAAAATATTAGTTCTAAATACTTCAATTGATTTTTTGGTTCCAAAGGATACCAGAATAATTGGGCAAAGAGAAAACTATCTCAATATTATTAATTCACCAAAAGTTGCTAAACCCTAAGACTTTCAAGAGTTTATATAATAACTAACTAGAAAAATATAAAAACGTGGCCTAATTATCAATATTTGTCCCTTCATTCTTCAGTAAATTGGAAGGGGTATACTAAATTGGGTTTAATTATAAAAAAAATATACAGAAAAAAATGTAAAATAAGAAAGTCTTTAATTTTAGTTTTTAATTGTGTCAAAGTGCATAATTTGAAATTTTCGAATTTTTCTTTAACATTTTTGTTCTTCCTTAAATCATGCAATTATTTTTGGAAACTGTTTTTTTTTAAATATATTTATGCATTAAAAATATCATAATTTAATGAAAGATTTGACTCTTCTGTTTATTTTTAGAATAAATCAGTTGGTTTGAATTTTAAATTTTTCAATAATATCATTTGTTGTCTTCTTCTTCTTCTTCTCTTCTTCTGCCTGTAAGCAATTTATTAGTACAAGTCCAAAATATTATTTCATTCTTATCATTGAACCTAAACAATTACAAGGTTTGAATTCCTGATTGCATTAAGTTTATATCTGTCATTTTAAATGTGATTATATTGTTTTTTTATATAAGAACACTATAACCGAAGTTCATTCTATACATGCGAACACTTTAATAGTGTAAAAATCTACTTACATAAAACATTGTACTGTTATATTTTGTCATATATATTTATTGTAACAATCCAGCTCTATTTTGAATTTGTTACCATATCCACAAAATCATTGAATACTGTTTTTGTTACACTATGCGGGAAACAATTAGGAGATATACAGTTTATTCACACACAATGAATTAATATGACAGTAAATGTTGTTGATGAACTTACTTCTACAATGGCAGACTAGTAGAATTTTTTTTTTAAAGACAAAACCCTGTAGATGTTCAGCAAACGATTTAGGGTTTATTGCCAAGGAAGATGAAGCAATATTTGGAAAGGAAGAAGAAGCGGTAATCGTTTTCCAAATATGAAGTTTTTCCCGATTTAATGTTCCTAAAATCTAACGGTTAAGCCTTATTACTGTGTACCTAATTAATTTTAAAATATATTTTTAAAACCGTTTTTAGGAAAGTAAATTTTAAAAAATTGACAATTAAGTCTTTGTATATCAACAATATACTTCTTTACAACACTTTTTTTTGTGTACTTTTTTATAATTATATCTAATTTAATGTACCGACTTCCAAAAAACCCTTTATTCTTTGTCCTAAGACACACATGACTGTTTTGCTCTTCACAAAAAGTGATTCTCTGAAAGAAAATGTTTATAGATCTACTAGTGCGAAGAATGGAACTCTTCATTCCTGTTGAGATGCTGCAATGGACCTCAATATGCTCTTAAGCTGAATATTGTGGGAGAAATCAAAACAAAGATCAGGTCTTACATTGAGATGCAGACTTATATAGCTAAAAAACCTCGCACATTTTCATTGATTTGGACATGTGCACAGGACCCACAATTCACATGTTCTTTATCCCAATCAAGGATTGGATGGGATAATATGCATGTGGACATATAGAACTAGCCAGACAACTTAGCATTGGGTCCAAATTCCAACCCAATCCAGCCATTACAACCCAAACACACCCTACCAATGTTCTGCCTTGAAACAATTGGACTCTTGAATCTTGGACTGGGCTAAAACTATAACCTACGTTTTTAATTATTTGGGCCTGGACCCAGCTGAAATCTGGGCTTATCAACAATTAAAAATTTTTTAGAACCATTTTGAATGAGTTTGAGAGCCTATTGCTGGCCAAATAATACTATAAGCAACAGTTTTTTCTTCCTAAATTTGCTTTCTCTGGTTTTGAGTGGTCGATATGTCAATTACAGAATATGCTCCCCCTACTTGCAGTTAAGGTGACGACTTCGGACATGGTCTCCGAAGTCAGCTCCCTACTTGTTGACCACCCATGGGTTTTGTTGAAGACCCACATTTGCCCACAATCAAGCTCAAAGGACTTTTAGGTAATGGGCTTTGCAGGCCTAAACATTTTTTTCCCAGTACATTAAAAAGTAAACAAAACTAAATATAATTTTCTCGTAAGACATTGGACATATCAGCCTTAAGATATTCCCCAATCTGGGGTGGGGTGGGGGTTCTTGAATGATGCAATCAAGAAATTTCTTGTGCCTGTGTTTATGACATACATTGACGACATTGGCAATGTTTGGTAGTGTTTCTGTCCAGTTACCACTAACCTATGCTATCCTACTAACTAGAATGTTAGTAGGTTGGTGGGTGGGGACGCCCGGTTGCTCCATGTCAATTTAGTTGTGCATGACAAACTTTTTTTTTTTTTTGGGGGGTGTTTTAATTTGGGTTTGTTTCAAATACTAGTAAATTTTAAAGTCACATTTTTATGATTTTATGACACTAATCTCAAATGTATATTGATTAACTACCAAAATTGCTATTTTATTATATTTAATGATTAATTAATTACATATTATTTGTAATTAAATGTGTTAAATTCCTTAATTTTCTAGTTTGATACTTTTCTATTTGTTTGGTTTATTTTGCAGGTAAATTGGTTGATTTAACGTAATAATAGATAATACAAGTGAAATAATTACTAGAGGAAAATTCATAATTGATAAAGAATGAAGAATCAAGATTGAGGTAGGAAAATTTGAAGATATAACAACAATTTAATCCTTATAAGAGTTCAAGTTATAAAAAAACTCATTTAGAGTTGGATTAGGAAAGTATCTTAGAAGATAATGATTTCACACGTCTTCAGTATTTGGTCATAATTTTTGACTCTAATATCCGATTTACTTGATTTTTGGGGGTTAGAAAGAAGACTTCAAGGTCTATAAAAGTGTATTTCACAAAATTTTCATAATTTAACCTCTGAATATGTAAAATTAAAACTCAAAGTTTGGACAAATTTTGTACTTACTTTTCAAAGATTTTATGTACAGAATTTAACCTTACAAGACTTATTTTTTGGAAAAGAATTCCTTTTAACCTGTACTTAGGATTTTTAGCATAAATAGGGGTTTTCATTTAGAGATTAGGATAATTCTTTTTTCCATATTTTTATTTTTATTTTATTTCGCCATGTCTAGCTAGAAGGCTAAGCTAGGGTTAGGAAAGAATCTCTCAATGAAGTACGGTAATATTATTGATTCCGAGTTTAATGATTTATGATTTTGTTAATTAAACTTCTGATCTTATAGCAAAGTTTTTGTTTTGTAAAAATCATTGAGTAGTTGTGTTATGTACATCGATTGCTTAAATTTCTCTGCGAGTAAATAACTGGTTATTCCACGCTTGAGCTTATTATCATTATTTCATAAAATAATATAATTGGATGATTATTCAGGTTTTTAAATAATCTTTTGATTATAACTTTTGATTTTCTTACTTGATTTGTTACTTGAATCAACCGACATCTGATTCTTGTCTTAGGTTAAAAATTAAGTCTTTAATCATTATTGTATGAAATTGTGAGAGAGTACATGATGCTCTAGTATTTGCAATTATTGCTTTAAAAATCAAATTTATTGTTTTCTAAATTTCAAAATATCTACAACAATATTTTTTCAAAATAATTTTCTTTTATTTTTCTTTGTGTTCTAAGTTTTTCTCAATTTCTTGTGATTCGGCCTCAGACTCCCAAAAAATTTATTACTTCGCACAACTTGCACTTGGATGATCAATTTTAAAGTTGCAGCACATATGATTTTATGTTCTGTGTTTAGATCGACATGTTTACTTTTTGAACTAAAAATATGGCCAAGACTTCTTTTTCTATATTAAAAATCAACTTCATTTCTATGTTTGCTAATTCAAGGAAAAAAAATCTACTAATTCTGTAATGATTCATAAAATATGCCATCTTGAAATTAAAAAAAAAATACTAGTATTTTTCATATAATTTTAATTTAATGAGTTTGTCGCGTTAAAATCAAGTTATTTTGTTTTTGATATTAACTAGGCCTAATGGGCTCTGCTGTTACCCACCTCAGGATGATGAGTACCAAATTTTAGAATTTACATGTTGTGAAAGCAACAGAAATGTGTTTGGAGCCTCTCCTCTAGGGTGTAAAAGCTTGTGTCGAATAACGACAGAAGGCCCTGTAGACCAAGGAAAAAAGGTGCAATTAATCAAGAAGGGCAAGACTTTCTAACTCTTCTTATTGGCATACACCAAAGCAAAAGTGCAATCCTCTTTAAACCTTTATTGGATCCTTCTACTCCCCCATCATCATCAAAAGCCATGAAACCTTTTCCAGGACAATATTCCCTTCTCCTCCAACCTTTTCCTCGTATGTCTTCTATAGAGCCCCCCCCCTCTTCTTCTCTCCCTTCCTTTTCCCTTAGGTTCCTTGGATCCAATAAGGTTTAGCCGCCGCACTTGAGTTGAGATTGGACTCCAAAACTCTTTGAGAGCAATAGTTATGGCAAATTATATTAATAAATTAAGTTTAAATAGTGTTATTATCCGACTGCCAAAAAATTACAAATCCAAGTAAAGAATTCAAGAGGACAATCAAAGTAAAACTTTTGTCCGAATGTAATCATAACAGTCCAACCGTATGAGAAAATTAGCTCAATTCATAACCTAATCCTACACCACAAAATTGTAAGTGGAGACAAGGATTCCTGTTGGGTTTAACTGTTTAAGTAGGCACATAATTATTCTGTTTCTTTTTTCTTTTTCCCGTCAACAAACCCGAGTAAAGCAAATAACAGTGCACAGTAGGGATGATAAGACATCTTCTCATTAGTCACTCTTTTTGACCCCCACCCTACTTGTTTTTATACCATATTTCACAGAGGGCCATGTTCTAGGGCAGCATGAAAATGTCCTCTCTGTGTGTTTACATAGACTTGCCTTGTTCATCTTCACTGCACTTCTGTTGTTTATTGAAAACAACAGCGACATGACAGGTCTCTCTTTCTTTGTCTGATCACTGAGGTTAAGTCTGATGTCCTGAGATCACCCCCATTGGCTTTGTTTTACCTGGTATTGCATATGGCTCAACAGGTATTTGTTAAATTGTCTCTCTCGTTTTTTTGTGAGTTACCCATATGGACATGGACAGTGTAGTTATAGATCTATTTTATGCATTTGGGTTTTTGTTTTTTTCCTATGATTTCTCTGGTGACGGGTCTAGTTTTTCTTCATGGTACTGTCCTTAGAGGTTATTGAAGCCACTTCTTTTCTGACTGATTTGATTGCGCAGGAAGAGGGATGGCCTCTTGGTCTGCAACCTGTGAATGTGAGGGTTGGGCTGGTGAGAAGTCGAGATTTTTCGGGATCAGTATCATTCAACACTTTGCTCAGTGGGTCTCCTAGTGCCTCAACTGATTCTTCATCGGATTTGGACACGGAGGTGAGTAGAGCTGAAATTAACCAAAAACTAGGATCGGACATTGCTTGATGTGTATCTGAAATTAACCAAAAACTAGGATATGATTATCATTAAAGATACTTACAGTAATTCAAACAGTTTTATTGGCATTATTAGGAGGAGAAAACCTTTAAAAATCAACATGGGCATTGTTTATTTTTGCTGGTTTTCTGCATGCATAAGCAATATTTTTTCTTTTTTCTAATAGAATTTGTTTCCTTGTTTTAATAAATATGCAATAGAATTGGGGTTTAAATAAGCACTTCTACAGGATATCTTCAATTCTAATGATTAGCTAATTATCTGTTTGGTCTCAAAATCCATAGTCCTTTCATTCATGTTAGTCCGTTCATGTTTCTTCTGTGATGTTATCTTAGTGCATGCCATACTTGACATGACACTAAGATACTTGACATGACATTTCTCGTGATGTTCTGATAAACTTGCAAGCGAATGTCAGTGAAATGTTTCACTCTTTGGTTACTCCATGGTTATAAATGTCCCCAGACTAACATGGAAAAATTCTCAGCATATATAATGTAGAGTTAGCAAGTGTGCACAGAAATTGTTACAATGCTAGCTTGTGGGATACACAAATTGATTTTTCTCAAAAAATTTCTAACAAATTTACATGTGAGAACAATTCATTGAGAATGTACAATAATTTATGTTTGATGTACACCGCCTAACTCTTCATCTGCTCCATTTATTGTATGGTTGCAATTTCTTAAAGCCAATACTCTGTCCCAATATTAGAGTTGACATTTACCATAATGGCACGAATAAAGGAGCAATGAAAGAGTTAGATACGGTTGATTTTCATAAGGCTGGAATTTTAAAAACCTAGTTGAATTGCAAGAATTGACAACATCAAAGTACAAAATATGTCTTTACTGTTTACTCATAATTTGGCAAAATTTGATTTTGTAAAAGAAAAGCATGTACTTCCACACAAATGTGTGGTTTCCTTTTCCCTTTCGCTTTACCTTTCCCTTCCCTTACTTGATAGGCTAAATGTATTGTTATTCTCTTAAAAAAAAATTATCGTCTAGAGAAGTGAATTTGCTAAATCATTTACTAGTGATCCAATCAGACCTTTTGCTTTACCTCAAATAGTAATTAACTATGGATCTCAAGGTGGCTTGCCTAAGTTTCTACCATTTTCCTTTTTGGTTAAATGCTCAAGGCAGCTTATGCGCACCTCGACTAATATCCTCACTAATCCGGTCAAAGACAGACTATCAATGCCGATATTAAGGTATTCATGAGGATAAATTTCTCGTGACTTGGTTTTAAGGGGTTGCCAAGATTCAAACTCTGAACGTTTGGATTTTCAACTATCAGTTCGTCCATGTTAACACTTGAGCTACCTTTGGGGTTAGTTCCTACCATTTTCACAAAGACAAAACTTCACTCCCGAAGCAATAGAAAACCCATATATCATTTAGGGCAAATTTTCATTTGTGCGTGTATGTTTTTGTGTGTTGGTTTTTTTTTTTTTTTGGGTTGGGGGAGGGGGGATTTGAGTGTGAGAGAGAGTGTACATGAATATCAGCTCAACAACTCATCAAATAATTAAAGCCCTTTTATTCCAACTACGTGAGCTCGGCTACTACTCTTTCTTTCAGGAGAGTAATTAAACCCAATCTGGTCATTATAATTAAACCCAAAACGGGATCTGACTTGTTTTTATGTCACTCTTAAGACTTTAGAATTAGATGCTACTTGTCTTATCTACCCATGCTATGTTTGCCCTGTATGAACACATTTCTCATGCAGTCATGCCGGTTTACTATGTTGCAGTCCACAGGATCTTTCTTTCATGACAGAAGCACCACACTTGGGAGCCTTATTGGTGTCTCTAACATTGTAAATCTCTCCAGAAGATCAATAAGAGGAAAAAATCCAGAAACCATAGAAGGCACGAAGACCTACAGACCCAAGACTTGGTGTTTTTCACTATGCCCAAGGGACAGTACTGATGCTAAGAGTGTGAACAAAAACACTCCATCACTTGGTCACTTCCTTGCAGTGGAGAGAAGAGCAGCTAATGAACATAGAATGAGCTATAGCCCTACAATTTTTGTGCCCGATGAACTTGCCCTGGCTCAGTCTGATGCACAACCGAACTCACTATTTGTCGATGGCTGCATTGCTCCTCCTCAATCAAGTCCATTAACCAGTTCAGATGCTGAAAGAAGACAGAGCAGAGGATTAGAGCATGGTGATGGGTATGGAGTTGCAGGGCTGTTTCCATGCATGTGTGGACAACCAACTTCATAACTAAGAATGTTTCATATATGTTGTGTGTCTCACAAATTGATGATTAAATTTGTGTTCTACGAGGTTTTTAGTTGACATATTTGTTGTGCTTTGGGGAGGAATTCCATTTTTCCTGTACTGTTGCTTCACAAATCTCTACTAAATCCTCTACTAGCAGAAGAAAAGGTTATCTTCCAGCTCAAAAGGCATCTGATTTAGTTTGTGCATTGCTTATCTGAATTTAATACACCTCCACTTGTACATCCCCCCACTATTGCATGATGTACACATCAATATGCAATGTAGTCAATATGTCTTAGCAGAAGAGAGTTTAGTGCATAAAATTCGAACCTTGTATATGAACGTTCTAAGGTCTATTTAAAAGACATCTGGAAAATCAAGGGTCAGAATATTTGTGTGGGCAATGCACTTTTTTTTATTTATTTATTTTTTATTGTTCTTTTATATCGTAGGTCTAATCACATGCTATTTGGACTCAGTGTTGCGACAGGCACGCGGGCGATTACCATATGGACGTTAGTCTTGTGGGTGAGGTTGCATCTATTCCATTGCCTCATGCAGTTAGCCCAAAACCTGTAATTATTTTTATCCTACCGAAAGGAAAATATTGTTTCACTTTTTCCATGCCTATTAAAGGAAAGATCGAAATTTACGAGTAATCGAAAATTTGAACATTCTTACCTACTAAAATTTTCAATACCAATTAGAATAAGTCTGCTGCTTGGCGCAGGCATGGAAACGTGCACGGCTTGAAGACAATAATTTTCCACCATTTTTACCACACGCATTGAATCGATCAAACAACTGGAAGGTATACGTTTGATTGATCCAAAGAAGCTGACATTTAGACTCGTGTTTTTTTCACCAAAGGATATTATAATGGGAAACAATTATTCGTTTGACTGTTCCAAAGAAGCTGACATTTAGACTCCTATTTTTTTCACCGAAGGATATAATAATGGGAAACATTATGAGAATTATTTACTAATATACGGTAAATTTTAGGAGTAAATAATAGTATCAATTTATGACACTTTAAAACTTATTTATTAAATTACAATACTTTTTAAAAAGCGAGGTCAATAATCCCCTTTTAAAGAGTAAATTCGTTGGATTTAACATTGATGTTGTCTTATCCCACCAAATATCAAAAGCACGATTTTTTACTCTATTTTTTTTTAAAAAAAGATAGGTTAATGACCTCGTTTTTTTAAAAAAAAAACATCATAAATGAATAAATAAGTTTAAAACTGTCATAGATTAGTAATACTATTTGAAATTTATGATGTTCTGATAAATAAGTCACCATTATGGTATCAGATTTTAACTTCTACTAAAAAATTTAAGGGCATTAACCACTATATAGACCCCTAAAAAATGATAAATAAAAGGGTATCCAAAAATACAATAGTCAAAGTCAACAATATAATAAGTTTAAGCTACATCAAATCTGTCGTGGTGTCGCTTTTGCGTATCGTTTGCGACAGTATAGAAATTCATCCACCTGCTGTATTGATTGACAGACAACGGAGCATCATTTTCTATCCCACGACGAGAGTAGCCTGGTCACGTTGATATTTCTCCCATGATTGGACTAAATTGCTGGATTTTCGATTAGTTATTGCCTTTTTTTTAAGGAAACTTGACTTCTGCCGAAATACCCAATGAGAAAGGATAACAATAATAACACCTGTTAGGATACTTTTGAATGGGAAAACACTTTTCATTAAACATCTTAAAATTCAAGTCTTCTAAGAGATATTTTGAATGATCTTATTCATGTGATTTGTTAACGATTATTTACGGCATTGAGCTCGATATCATATCAAATATTATGATTTTAATAGGAGTTAGTAACATCCCAGTTTGGGTAAATGCAAAAAAATCAACTGCAGAATAATCAAAGATCAATTCATAGTTAAAAAAAATCGTGATTGATGCTAAATAACCGTTAATAATCAACCCTAAATGACCCAATTTGTCATAATTTTTTTTAACTTTGAATCAATTCCATAAAATAATTATTCGGTAATTTTTTTTTTAATTCTCTAGATATTTACACACGTAATTCATCCAAATGATATCCCCATCTTCAAAACATTACCTAAAAAACATTAACATTGTAGGAAAGGTGATTTTCAATCGATTGAATCATGATTTTCAATATGATACTAAAAATAATTGTTGGCTATTGTTGACTACCATAATCTCTTTCATACTTCAGTGGATAATGTGTATACTTTCTCCAAAATATACCTTTATGTTCGGAAAATATCCACACAAAAAAAAGGATATCGTAGGAAATGTACGACACACAATGGGTAAATTGGGTAACTGTGGTCCCCACCATCCCTACAAAGTCAAACAACCAATATACAAGTATGAGCACAGCACACAGCTTGGGCTCTCAACTGGACCCACGCGGGGTGCCACTCGTCGGTGATGGCTCAAACCAACGGGTCAATTAACGTGTCGACGTCACGGAAAGCTTAGAGATAAGACCTTTAAACTGTCCATATACTCTCCATGGACCACATATTCAAAATTTCCCCACAAAACAAACAGTAAGTACTTGGCAGCTGTAGCCGCGCCACCCTCCATAATCAACTCAATATTTTTTTTTTAACAGTTAAAAATGTTTAGATCAATTTATGTGTACTTCTATTAATTTTTTCTTTGATTCGATTAAAGATATACCATCCATGTTGGTACTAAGAAATTACACACAACTCGATATCCCATGCATACTAGATCCCTCAATAGTATTGAAAAGTAATTTTTAATTATTATATGATGATGGTTTTCTAACTATGAATTTTAATTCAAACTATTTATAAAATAATAAGGTAAAGAGAATTTTATATTTGTTACATTCCCCCATTCTGTTAGAAAGTCATGCTTTCATTATAAAAATGTATGTTACGAAAAATAGTATTGAACTTATAGACAAATACATGGAACCAACTAATGTTTGGGCCCTCATGCAGGTTAGGTGGCTTTTGTCTTCTAACCCTTTACAGGTATCCATGACCCACCTAAAGCAACTCACTCTTCTCAAATAAACACCTCCCCACACTGGATATCAGATCATAGAACTTACGTGGCAATACCAAATCAGATCATGATCCTGGGTCCCACTGTCCCTGACCCATCTTGCTTTTTTTGTACATTTATAATTTGGATTGTCTATGATAGATACCCAAAATAATTCAACCTATAGAGACATGATCACATGCAAACAGCTGCAACTCAGGGCTTTGTCATTGTACCTTATTTGCTTATTTTGTTCCACTTATGCATAAATTAAGAAGAAAGCAATGATACAATTCACACTACCATACTCTTTTCTTGTGTGTGTGTGTGTGTGTGAGAGAGAGAGAGAGAGAGAGAGAGAGAGGGTAGGGTAGGTGGGGTCAACTTTTCGGACCATAGCTTGACACTATCCAAGGTTGGTTTATATAACAGGTTAAGTAGGTAGCAGACATTGAAGAATATTGAATTGTATGAAAAGAATTGATGTCTATTCAGGTAACTAACAGGCCTTCAAGGCACCACTGCTTCTTCAAGCTGAAGTAAACAAACTGATTACAGCAATGTGACCCACACAAACCATACTCACCAACCCAAACCTGCAAATCACTTTACTTCGCTTATTTCCCAAATCTACAATGCAAATCAACAGCTATCTATACATACCCCAATGGGTCCGAATTGACTTTGAATCCTTGGTGCTCACGTGGAACTTGATACCAAATTTACTATGTGTCAAGGCTTAATGGCTTATCAACCCATGCATTTTCAGCAGCAATCCTTCCTGAACCGCGGCCACCAATTTTGCCAAACGAGCTAACTGCTGATAAGCCCTTAAAACTGCTGCTTCCCTCGCTGAAGTTCCGTGACCTCCTTGACCTTTTGAGCTTTGGGGAATTTAAATCGCATTCAGTATTTTGGTCGGTTTTAACCTCTGCAACAACCAACCGAGCAATGCAGCTACGACAAAAAGGGCAAACTGGCGCGGTTAGGCATGCAGTTGTTGGATTTGGTTTGTTATAACAGCACAAGGCTAGGGTGCATTGTGCACACATCCGGTGGCCACATTCTTGGACTTCAATTGTGCAGACTTGATCGAAGCATATGCAACACAGCTCCGTGTCACTGGCCTGCATGAAATTATTCTTCCAGTGAACGAGACATAACCATTACTATTTACAATCTGTAACATTTTAGAGGAATATGGTGGCATAAAAATTGCTCACAGTTCTTCTCTCAATATGGCATCTGTTTATGGTGATATAGAAAAGTCGGTTTCCGTTTTGATGAGATATAATATGCGAACACTTGAAATTGGATACAATCAAAGTTCATGGATCCTTAAACTGCGGATTTTAGGGTCCAGAGCATATAGAAAAAATTATGAGTTTTGACTGTTCTTGTTCAGCATGGATTACTCTTTCGCACACACAACAAATTAAGTTAAGACAAGGTGGAATATTATAATTTTAGAATTTGACATTTCCTTCTGGTGATGAAATTTTGTCCAACTCAGACCATTTCTAACATATAATTTTCAGCATAGGTAAAATTCAAAAATTTAGGATTATGTCTCTGTTTTGACCAAAACCCGAATCAATTTGATCCAAAACTCAAACCCTTCTAAAAAAAAGTGAGCATGATGAAATACCTCGGAGATGCTGTCATCAACACCAACATCAGAATGGGAAGGAGATGGTGGCATGTAAGTTGTCCCCTTTAAGATGCTCTTCTCCCTCTCCTTATTTGCCTCCATTAAGGCCTGCTCTAATAAAGCTTTTGCATCCTGATTAAGCTCACTAATGAACTTCAAAGGCGATGGCCAGACAAGAGGCTCAGCAGATGAAGGATTCAGCAAGGCTGCACATGCTCCATGCTTATGTTTTAGAGCAACTGTGTATGGTATTCTCCTGCATCGCGTGCATCGGATAAGAAATAAGATCATTTACTAACCTAGAAAAAGTCATATC